GGGGCGGGGCTGACGGCTTTGGACCAGGAGGGCGGGGGCGGCGACTGGCGTCTCCTTTGGGACTTGGGGTTCGGGCACCTTTGTGGGACCGTGGTCCCCGCGGCCCGGGCGGGACTGGGGGCGGCGGGGGCGACAGGCGCTGACGTCGCGGCCGCCCCTGGGCTCGGGTCGGCGGTGCGAACTTGTTTTCGCGGTGGGGGTATTCTGGCCCACTCCTCCTGTCCCACGGGTCCTGGGGCGGCGGGACCGAGGACCTCCTGGTATCTGTAGGATCCACTTTGGGGTGCCGAGTTACTGCGTTTTTAGAAACTGTGCTAGCATCATCGATGTTTTGGAAGATGTTAGCCTTAAATTAGATTTTTTTTTTTTTCTTTTTTCCTCTCTGCCTCATCTTGGGACTGCCCCTGCTTTCTTACTTTAATGGCATTATCTTCTGAATATATTCTCACAGGATCACAACAGTGGGTGAGGGAGAAACCTAGTAAAGATGTTTGGTATTGACATTGATTTTATTGATATTTAATTGAGAAGTTTGCGGTGTTTAAACGCTGGACCGCTGAGTATTTTACAACTTTATATGTTGAAGGTTGATTGACATTGAACACTTAGTTGAAAATTAACCGCTCTGATAAAATTACCAGAGGAGGCCTGATCGTTCTTGAACATTTTTGATAAGCATTTAAAAGAAAAAAGCCTATAGATGATTCAATAACATGTTTGGTAGCTTCGAAGACAAAGGAACTGTGTTAAAGAGGAGTGACATAAAATTTTTAATTTGAATCACAAAAACGACTCCTTGACTCACTAAATCGAAAAAGATGATTGGAAGAATCTCTTGGAGGTTATTTCTGAGGGAGTGAATGCTATGTTGGTTGACTATCACTATTGAGATTGTTAAAATAATTCCGAAGGAAACTAGTAGTTAAAGGACCGGGGTTTGTCTTAGAAATGCTTTTCTGAACCACAGTTTCCTAAATTCTAAAATTTTTATCACAGTTCCTTTCTCAAAAAATGATAGTTTACTATTTTTGCTGTTATTTTTTAATGTAATTTCAGCAATGTCTTCCCGGATTGGAGAGAGCCACAGCGGCGATAACAAAATGAGGTGATCTAGGAAGTTAGATTAAAAACAGACGTTGAACTTGGCCTGTGGAAACATCATCAACAGCTTCTTACCCAGTTGTCACATTCAGGTGATTTAGCAGGATTTAGAATGCTAACTGATCACTATGGCCAGAGCAAATGTCCTGAGGTTAGCCAGTGTTGCCCAGGGTCAGATTACCAGCAGCAACCTGTTTTGCCTGAATAAGAAAAGACCGGGGCTCCTGGGTGGCTCAGTCTGACTCTTGATTTCCGCTCGGGTCACCATCTCACCATTTTTAGTTGGAGCCCTGCATGGGGCTCTGCACTGACAGCATGGAGCCTGCCTGGGATTCTCTGTCTCCCTTGCTTTCTGCCCCTCCCCACTCTCTCTCTCTCAAATATAAATAAACACCTAAAAAATTTTAAAAAGGGCCAGGAAGGGATATTATTCTTTTGTGGTAATTGGAGGTGAAGTCCAAGTAAATGAAAAGGGAATTTTTTTAACTGCTAATTATTCCCATAGTAAATTCATAGAGTAAATGTTAATTAAATCCTCCTCCTATTAAGAAATTGAAGTGAAGAACTTGTTGGTAATAATAATGGACTTGATGACAAAAGCCTAGAATTCAGGGATCTATATTGAATGGAATCACTCAGACATATTAAGGAAAGAAAATTCCAAACCTGAATTGTGTCATGTAACAGGGATCATTCTTGCTCAGAATAGGTGTTTGATAGATACTTCTTGAATAACTTATTAACAAACAGTAGTTCTTGGTACACAGATATGACCAGTACTTCCTGATGTCTGCTTGTTTCCCCGCCTGCCACTCCCAAAAACTTCCTGGAGGACCTTCTTGGTCTCCTTCCTTTGATTCCTCTTAGACGTTTAGCCCTCTGGAGGAGGTTTAGACATGAATATTTACCTTCCCTTCCCTAGACTCAAGGAAGGATTATAATACCAATAACTGACCCAAAGTCAGTAGCATAATATGTACTTGTATTATCTCATCAATACACAGATATGTGTATTTAGTACAGAAAGGCAGAAAATATAGGCAAGCACAAACACTGAAGTAATGTAGTTGGTTTGTCTAGTTTATTTCTCAGGTGTCCTGGTACTATTCCTGGGCTCCAGGGGGCAAATTTGGAATTCAAGGATTAATGCAAGAGCATTAGCCACAGTAGCCAGATACTTGGAGACTGTGATTCCTTGTTTTCTGCCTTTAGGGGAAAAAAAATTATTATTATACCTGCTGATTATTACAGTTATTTGGAAAAGAGGAAGAAAAAAGCCAACGTTAGCACAGGTTGTGACAAGTTTTAAAATACTAAGAATACCATAGTTTCCCAGTAAGTAACTTGAGAATGTAGTTATTTTAATTGGGTTACCAAATATAGCTTCACCTTTCTAAATCTCACAGCTATACCACATTCATTTAGGGAACATTCTGGAAAGCTTTCTGCCTACCATTATAACTCAGTACCTGAGTGTGGGTATGAACATAACCAGAGGTTTCTTTCTCCCAAAATGACTTTTTGGTGGTTCAGCTTTAATAGAATATTCTTAGGAATTCGTGTGGATCTTTCCCATCCTGTTTTCTGATTTTTCTGACTTCCATCTCCAAGAGACCAAAAAAAAAGTAAAACTTCCTCAAAATCATCTTGTTTTTAACTCTTAGTACCTTGACCACTGTATGAATATATACATGTGAATAATCTTAAGTCATTAATAAATAATTTTTATACCATGTATTGTCACCTCTTTATATAGGGAGGGAAATAACTTATAAACAAATAAGTCAAACGAACTTCTCATACAAGGATTCACAGCTAACACTGTGCTGGATATTGTTCGTAAGTTTTTGCCTACAGGGGCACCTGGGTGGCTCAGTTGGCTAAGCCTCTGACTTCAGCTCAGGTCGTGATCTCAGGTTTCGTGAGTTTGAGCCCCGTGTGGGTCTCTGTGCTGACAGCTCAGAGCCTGGAGCCTGCTTCAGATTCTGTGTCTCCCTCTGTCTCTGCCCCTCCCCAACTCATAGGCATCTGCGCACGCGCTCTCTCTCTCTCTCTCTCTCTCTCTCTCTCTCAAAAATAAACATTAAAAAACTAATAATAAAAATAAACGTTTTTACCTACTGTATCTCATTTACTTATAATAACGTACTTAATAAATAGAGACTATTATAGCGTTCCTTAAAGGAAAGTTTAGTAAGTTCATTACAAATCACACTTGAGATGGTTCAGAATCAGTAAAGAATTGGGTGTACAATAGGAGAAAAGGCATACTCTCTTTTTAATGGTATAAATGTGTAAGTATGTGCTTCTAAATGTGCTCGAAGGAAAAAAAACCCCAGGATAACCAGCTTTTATAAAATGATCTCCATGACCTCTTGTCCTGTCTGCCTAAAATTAGAATTTAAATATCAAAATTGCATAGTTTAAATTTTTAGAAATGAAATGGTACCATTATTTGTTAAATCACATTACTTTCTCAGACAAAGACCATTTTCATGATATTGGAAGAGGTAAATTTTAAAAACTTTCATGGTTGAAATTTAATTTTTTTTTCTGTGTCCCCTGCCTCAGCAGCCTCCCCCCAGAAGTTTAATCTTTAAATACAAACATTTCCCCCCAAACTATGGGTTGTTGACTAGAGTTAACACCTTTCTCACTGAACACTAGTGTTTCTACCGTGCCCAGATGTGGAATGACATTGGAAGAATTTGCTGGCTCGATCATATATTGTCATACTTAAGTGAATGAATTTCTCACTTTCCCATCTTGAACTTTTTTTTTTTTATTAATTTCGAGAGAGGGGCCCCTGGGTGGCTCAGTCGGTTAAGCATCTGACTTTGGCTCAGGTCATGGTCTCCCAGTTTGTGAGTTCGAGCCCCACGTCGGGCTCTGTGCTGACAGCTCAGAGCCTGGAGCCTGCTTCGGATTCTGTGTCTCCTCTCTCTGCACCTCCCATGCTCATGCTCTGTCTCTCTCTGTCTCTCAATAATAAATAAACATTGGGCGCCTGGGTGGCTCAGTTGGCTAAGTATCCAACCTCAGCTCAGGTCACGATCTCGCAGTTTGTGGGTTCGAGCCCCACGTCGGGCTCTGTGCTGACAGCTCAGAGCCTGGAGCCTGTTTCAGATTCTATGTCTCCCTCTCTCTCTGACCCTCCCCCATTCATGCTCTATCTCTCTCTGTCTCAAAAATAAATAAACGTTGAAAATAATAATAATAAATAAACATTAAAAAAAATTAATTTCAAGAGAGCCAGCAGGGGAGAGGGGCAGAAAGAGATTGTTAAGCAGTTTCCACACTCCGCGTGGAGCCCAACACGGAGCTCCATCCCACAACCTTGGGATCATGACCTGAGCCAAAACAGAGTCTATTAACCAACTGAACCACCCACGTGCCCCCCTCCCCCACAATCTTGAACTCTTATGGTTGATCAGATGAGTGAGAAAAGGAACTAGATAGCATGCCTGGGTTAGTGGGTGATTCAAATTTCCAAACACAGCTGATGGGTCTAAATCTGTTCCTTTATTTTCTAACCACATTCCTATGTTGCCTTAGATATGTACACATGGCTTCGAATGCTCCCCTTTTAGGTCCAGGATATTAATAATATACCTTTTTTTCTCAAGAACTGAATTCTTAATTGTATTTTCAACTATTATCTCACCAAACAGAGTATGTCTATCTAGTACAGAAAGAGAAAAACACAGGCAAGCACAAACAATGAAACCTCGCCACCTCAGAATATATTACCTTCACAATTGCTTTGTGGGCATATGAACACAGACAACAAACTGGGCCATACTACGGGTAATCGGATTTTTTGCTCGACACTGTAGCACGAATATCTTATTCCAATAAATATATGCATCATTTCTTCAGGACTTCACAGTAAGGCTGATTTGTTTAAGTACACAAAACTGGACTCCGTCCTTCACCAGAGCAACATTATTTGATTTATGAAAGCTTTGCTTTCTGCAAGGTGGACAAGTTCTGACCCAGAGGGAGTGTAGTACTTTTCCCTACAAACATCCCACTTCCTGGCTACTCAGACTCTCTTGTCACAAAGCCTGTGCAAGTAAGCTATTGGCCGGGCTCCTGGGCCCAGGAATGCTGCCGCTGCCGTTAATAGCTGTGTGAACAGTCCATCTATGGGCAACACGCAGCCGCCTGGGTACCTGAATGTTTTTTTTCACTCAGGCCTGTGCTTCCCATGCTGAAATTTGGACCAGACACATTCTCATGGCAAGATGATGAGATTCAAAGCACAAGAGAAAGCCTGCAGTTCGCATTTCAGAGATGGAGGAAAAACAAGATGTCTTCTCCAAAGGTTGTGCCCACTCAGCTGGAACCAAGAAATGACAGCAACCCCCGGGTGCCTGGCCCGCCCTGGGACACACGTGGGCGCGTGGGTGAGGCGTTCACCAGGAATGTTTCTGCGAGGCCCACAGGGCATGGGTGGGGGCTACTAAATAACAAAAACCCAGGTTTCTTCTGAGAAGCAAAAGGACTGGAGTCTTTTCTAAAACCGAGCAAAGCGTCTGCTAAAGAAAAAACATGGCTTCCAAGGGAGGGAATTTTTTTCACCTAGTTCCGTTGAAAGTGGAGTCCTGGTATTGTATTCACGGGAACCACAATAAGGAAGATTCCTTTCTTCACAGTCACCCCACAAGTGACTGTGACGCTCCTGAACGCCCACATCCCTGGTTTTTCAGGCAGTCCCCTGTCTGACCTTGAGCTAAAGGCAGTGTCCCCAGGCCCCTAGCGTCCCCTCTCCTGGAATAGGAAAAACTGCTGCTTTCGCCGGAATTATTTACATTATTTATATTATTATAATTTTCTGGTACTGGAGCCTTTTGTTCAACCTAATAGCACGTTCTTCTGCATTCTCACGGCGGTCTCCTACCCTCAAGTTTTCTGCCTTCCCCACGTCCACTTCCAGGAGAGGGGGCGAGGAGCCTGGGGGTCGAGCCCGCGCGGGCCTGCGCCCTCAGAAAGCAGCTCTGGAGCCTGAGTCTCTATGAATCGGCAACCAGAAGTGCGCCTTGTACGCTGACGAAAGTTAATGACCGAGTTAGTCAAGTTTGAAACTCCTGCAGGAACACAGTGGAGCAGATTCTTGGCGTCTGGCCCCGTGTCACTTACAAGTGCGCCAAGAAAAAACGTCACCTAAAAAAGCTTATACTTGTTCAAGCCTTAGTCCTGAATTGTAAAAATCCTGTCTTTTGAGATCTGCCCGGCAATAAGGTTAACTAGCAACCCTCGGAACTAGTGGAATTCAAAACAAAATAAAAACAAAACAAGAAAAAGGTACTGTAGCGAGCCGCCCAGGGGCTCAGGGGCCGCCGACTGGGTAGGGAAGTCTGGCGCGAAAGGGGTGGCTCCGGTTCCGGGCGCCGAGCTCGCCCCCGCCGGCTTCGGCCCCGCAGCCCGGCCCGGTGCGTCGTATGCGGGCCCTGGAGGCCCCCGACCCCGGACGGAGAGGACACACGACGCCCGGCGGGCCCGGCTCGGGCAGGGGGCCGCGGGAAGCCCCGTAAGGGCGCGGGCGGGCGGTTGTGACTCAGCCTCAGGCGCATGGGGCGGGCGGCGGCGCCGGGCTCGGAGGGGTTAAGTAGGCGGGGCCAGCGACGGCCCGCCCCTCCCGGCCCGCCCCCGAGGCCGCGGCGCCCGGCGGTACTTATAGCGGCGGCGCGGGACGCGCTGCGTTCCTCCCGCTGGCCCCGGCCGCGGCGCGCCCTAGTTACCCCAACGACGGTGCCATGGAGCGGCCGGCGCCCCTGGCCGTGCTGCCCTTCTCGGACCCCGCGCACGCGCTGAGCCTGCTGCGCGGCCTGAGCCAGCTCCGCGCCGAGCGCAAGTTCCTGGACGTGACGCTGGAGGCGGCGGGCGGGCGCGACTTCCCCGCGCACCGCGCCGTGCTGGCGGCCGCCAGCCCCTACTTCCGCGCCATGTTCGCCGGGCAGCTGCGCGAGAGCCGCGCCGAGCGGGTGCGACTGCACGGCGTGCCGCCCGACATGCTGCAGCTGCTGCTCGACTTCAGCTACACGGGCCGCGTGGCGGTGAGCGGCGACAACGCCGAGCCGCTGCTGCGGGCCGCCGACCTGCTGCAGTTCCCGGCCGTGAAGGAGGCGTGCGGCGCCTTCCTGCAGCAGCAGCTCGACCTGGCCAACTGCCTGGACATGCAGGACTTCGCCGAGGCCTTCAGTTGCGCGGGGCTGGCGAGCGCGGCGCAGCGCTTCATCCTGCGCCACGTGGGCGAGCTGGGCCCCGAGCAGCTGGAGCGCCTGCCGCTGGCGCGCCTGCTGCGCTACCTGCGCGACGACGGGCTGTGCGTGCCCAAGGAGGAGGCCGCCTACCAGCTGGCGCTGCGCTGGGTGCGCGCGGACCCGCCGCGCCGCGCCGCGCACTGGCCGCAGCTGCTGGAGGCGGTGCGCCTGCCCTTCGTGCGCCGCTTCTACCTGCTG